TAACACAGTGACACATAGAATAAAACTTTTTCCTTGGAAATGGCTACAAAATTCCAAACTATAATTTTTACTCAAAATAATTCACAGAGGTAAAAATTGTTACACCTCACTTCTCCAGCCTAGAAATTAACAAGATTTAAAGACAAGTACCTTATGTGGTTTTAATACAGTATGTCATTTATGGATTATTTAAACTGGCGAGGATATAACATTACAGATCTCTAAAGATGGTTCCTCTAACAACTTAATGTACAGTCAACTTCCAGATATCTTAAAATTTCCCTAATGACCAATACAAGAATGGGAATCACCACCAAATTTTTTTTTTCACCACCAGTAATTTTAGAAACTAAACCAGCATTACAACTAAAAATCTTAACAGTTCTGCAACAAAACTGTTTTAGTAAATCTTTGGTTCTGTGATCCAAGCTCTTCAGAGCCAAGTTTCTTCAAACGATATTAGTTTCTCATAACCTGTCTTACTCTTCAACCAAACAGAATCTGGCTTATGCTGGCTGAGTTTATTTATCTACCATGTTTTCAAATTTTTACCTGTTTGGACACTGCAAACCACTTCTCTCTTGGCTTCTCTAATTCCACTCTCCTGATTTCCCTATCTTTTTTCCTCCTTTAAGTCTTCATGACTCCTTTCTAACTCCTGCAATAATGGTGTTCTCCAGTGAGCTCTATTTAGCCTCTTCCACTTTTCCTTTTGAGCCATTCTAATGCACTCCCATATGTCTATGTAATACAAGAGAGAAGTTTAGCCTCATGATATTTGGGGTTTTATCTTCCACAAGCCATTCCCTATTCTGCTGCTGGACTAATCTATCTAGAAGACAAATCTGATCAGATCTGTCCCCTTGTTTAAATCTCATTAAGAAGAGAGTCCAAAATACTTACAATGGCACGTAATGCCTTCATGATTTGACCAGTACCTCTTTTCCAATCTCACATTTCTCCTGTCATCACAATTTATGCATAGCTTTGTATTTAGGTTTTTCTGTTCTTCAAATTGACCCCAATCCAAAATTCAAATGAACCTCCTTTTTGAAGCCAGAACATTACTTGCTCCCCCCATTATATACTCTTTGTACATAAATTCTGTAATTATCCTCATCTACACCTCATTTTTCAATGGAGCCATCCAAAGGCACAACCACAGTGATTAAAAATAAATAAAACTGAAGACCTTGGAAAGATCTGTAGAGGGAAAAGATTCAAAACACTAACAAAAAAGACAGAAAAATGAGGAAAAGCAATTGAGTTACAACTGTTAACTAATCTCTGTCAAGGCTAAATGAAATCTCCTATTTCTGTCTAATATAGGACAACTAGGATGAAACCAACACTTGAAAGATTTAATTTTAAACTAGTTAAGATGCAATCCCAAACTGAAATCTGGTTTAAAAAAAGAACTGCTTTTCAACTGCAGGTGAAAATGAAATGACTTTCTACTGATGAGAGACACTGGCCTAATTATGTTAGCTCTCATCAGATTAGAAAGTTTAAAACAGTAGTCAACCAAAGGAAACATACGCTAAGAGGGACTGACAAAGTGTCTATCACTAAGAAAAATTTAAAATGAATGAGAATGAAAATATGTGCCACATTGGAATCTGGTTCATTTTATTTCTTTAAAGCTGCACCTAGCATACCTTAATCATTACAGAAAAATAAGTCAAAAAAAAAAAAAAAACACTTGTACTCATGCTACTTCACTTCTAGATTATGGAAATGAACCACATTATATCCCTTATTCTTTCTTTCCTTTTTTTTTTGGAAACTCTACCCCAACATGAGGCTCAAACTCACAACCCTAAGATCAAGAGTTACATGCCCTACTGACTGAGCCAGCCAGGTGTCTCATAATGCTTATTCTTTTCTTAATGTAATTATTTATAAAATATAAATGTCATTATTATTAGTGCACAGTGGATATGTGAATAAGCCTGAATACAGTCTTGGTATTAAGAAATCTGAATTAATAAAAATTTGTATTACAAATTTTGTTTGCTCACATTATATAAGAGTAGCTGAAAACTATGTTTTCCTTCACAAATTCTTAAAAGGAATACCACCTCTAGGATGGATTAATGATACTTCATGAGGAAAACAATGAGCAGAGAGGATCAAAACAAATTCCTTTTCTTAAGTGCAGCATCTGTGAAAAAAAGAAAAACAGCAAGACAGCTCATTTCTGCTAAGTTACTACAGAAATCAAACTGGATATATTCCTGTACTTTCTTCACATCATATGCCTGTTTATTAATAGAAACATATAAGGTTAACAATTAATAAAGCTATATATGGCAAAGGCCAAATTGGTATTGAATGAATGGACAGAAAGAAGGCAAAGGCAGGAGCTGGGCAAGTCCCCTCATCACCACCTTCTCTAATACAGATTAAATGAAAAAATTCTGTGCTCCCACAGTACTTTTTACATACCTCAATATGAACTTTTTACATTAAACTCTATTTATTCACACAGGTCTCTCCAACACAAATTCTAAGTTTCCTCTTTTATATTCTTAAAAAACATACATGTGCTGAAGCAGCCTGTTTTTAGATTTAGAATCAACAATTCCTTCGTTAAAAAAATATCTAGGGCAGATTTTTTTTTTTCTTGAAAGAACATCCTTTGTCTTTTTAAAAGTTAAATCCCTACATGATTTTCTTTGAAACAATCCTAGGTGCTCCTAACCCAACTTCTGGTTGCAGAAATAAGTTTTTTCAGGGCATTAGCACCAGAAGCTGCTACTTTGTACCTAAACTTAACATTTTTGCCCCTTTATTTTCAGACATCTGGGAAAGACCAGTGGATCCTAAGTATTCTATAAAAATAATGTTGGCTTTCTTACAAACAAATGTCATTTCATGTAAGTTTCATATATAATAGGTTAAAAAATCATTATACCATAGAAATTACAACCAGTAATAATTGTAATTAGTAAACGATTTTTATGCAGTTATCATGAAATAAAACCTAGGTCTACAAACCCATCATAAACTAGCAAACCTTCAGATGACTGATTCCCCCTTATAAATCTTAAGTAAACCTAAGAATGTTACAGATAATAGAATTAGAAGGAACAAAAATCAGGTATTTTGCTATTTTCCTTTTCAACCTCCCCATCATCTCCACCCTCCCATACACCCCATGGCTTTCAATATATTAAAATTAAAATACTGTTTATCGTTCTCTCTAACTTACGTTTGTCAGCACTGAGTTACGAAATGTCCAAAAACTGAACATAAGAAATAGAGGAGGTAAAGTTTTACAGAAAGTTGTATGAATTCAAAACCTCTAAATTAATAGACTTGGTAAAGATACGGGTCTTCCCCCACACTTTAAAAGGAAGCATGTGTAAAAATAAATCAGGAAAGGTAAAAGCAGAATCACAAATAAGAACTATAGCATTATGCAGAACGGAACTTCACAATTTTCAATGTCAAAGTTCAATACTATATAAGCAACGGTATTCCCCAAATTGTTTATGACTCTTTTTTCTCCTTCTAACAATCTAAGTCAACCTCATATAAAAACAAAGTTCTTGTACCAGCGAAAGTAAATGCTAATGAAACCTGTGTTTCTTATGTACTACTACAAACCTGATGTACTATTCCAAATCTGATTTCACGAACTTGGCCCCAATCCATAATACGTTAATGTTAAAAAGCAATATACCCAATAAAGCAACCTTAAGAAACAGGTCTATATAGTGTGACACATTGAGACTACCAAAGAACAACTTACTTTAGGTATATTGACACAGTGACAAATAAGCGGTTTTGATAGTTCAGAAAAGTTACTCATCTCAAAGACCTAATAATGACGCTAAAGGGAACTTTAGTGACACACCCAGGGCGGACCGCCACGTTAAGGATACAACTCTTCCGAGGTGGAGAGGGCTCTCGCCAGCTCTGACTGCTGCTGAACCCGGATCCTGCTCCTCCTCCCAGAGGAGGTCTGCCCCCCGGCTTGCCTCCTCGCTCACCCCCTCCTCGCCCCCGACTCCAGCGACTTCCACCCCGGTAAGGCCTGCCTCGAAAGCGGAAACGGTCCAAGGCGATGTGGCTCCGCTCCCAAAAGGACGGCCGGGGGCTGCTTTCGGACAGTGAGCTCGAAGGCATCCGTACGGAGGGCGGGTGAGACCGGAACGGCTCTTTGGGTCGGTAGCTGCTGTGTCCCCTGAGGTGGCCCCGCTCCGACGCGTGCCGCGAGCGTGAGAAATTCCTCAACTGCTGCTGAGAAGAGGACGACGACGACGAGGAGCCACCGCCTCCGCCAGATCCACCGCCCCGGGCCGGGTGAGGAGGCCTTCGCCGCGGATACGGCAACAGCCCGCCGCCACTGCTGCTGCTGCTGCTCCGGCTCCGTATCTGGCTGTTGTTATCGTCGTCGCTGATTTCCCCATCTTCTAGCTCCCCTTCTTCCTTGGGCGAGAGGCCACTGGAGGCCGGGGCCGGAATATCTGCGGTCGCCATCCCGGGAGCAGCACCTTCCACACAACCTTAGCCCTCCGTCCGGGGATCCGCCCGACAATTGCCTTCCTCCTCGATTCCCTTCTTTTCTAACGGACCCGGTCGGTGCGGCCTTACCCTACTCGGACACCTAGCGGGCTTTGCTCCCCAACTTCCCGCACCCCAGCTCTTTCTCGCCGGACCGTCGCAACCCAGTTCCCTTCCCTAGCGCCCCCTTGCTCCTCCGCTATCGGGGCTCTTCCGCCTCGCGAGAAAGGGGCTCTGGAAGTGGCTCTGCTCGTGACGTCACTTCCTGCGGCACGCAGGAAACAAGGCGTCTAGTTCACGCGATAATAATTAGGACAACGAGATTCCTGGTGGGACTTGTAGTCTTTCTTTCCTCTGTCTTCTGGTTTGTCCTTCCAACCTCTATCTCACACCCACCCCGGACTCCGGATTGGGATATCTGGGTGCGTGGCGGGGTGGGCGGGCCCATTCTTAATCTTGGCCGCAGGAGTTTCATAGTGATAGGGGGAGGGGGGGAGACACCTTTTTAATTGCTCCGAGGACTGCTGCCAAAGAGACGCAGTAGTCCCATTCCCTTTTGGGGGCCGGGAGGGGGCGGCTTGTGTCCGCCATGTTGGTGAAGGTAAACGGAGGCGACCGGAGCTCCAGGACTGTCTGCTTTGCTGGCTCAAATCCGCCATATTAATAAAGAGACAGGGAAGGTTGACGCCACCACCCCCACCCCCCAATACACAAACCCATTTTTCCCACTCCGCTTCCACGACTCTTCTCGGTGGGCCCGTCCCCTGCCTCGATTGCCTAGCCTTTGCCCGGAGGAAGCGTAGCAGCCAGCGCCTCAGAACAGGCTTAAGACGGCACCGAATGAGGGGGAAAGGGAAATGCCGACCAATTGCGCCGCGGCGGGCTGTGCTACTACCTACAACAAGCACATTAACATCAGCTTCCACAGGTAACATGGGCAGGGAGTGGGGGTGACGTAAACAGGAGCTCCTAGATTGAGTGTCGCGTGTGTGGAAGGAACAAGAGGTTTCTGCTAATTCTAATGACTTCACTACCTAGCTAGTAGCAGGGAAGCATCAGTTCTGCCCTTTGTGTGTGTTTCTCAAATCTGTCCAGTTTTTTTCTTCGGGGAAGATTAACTCACTTTGTAAAAGAAATCCAAGTTCTGTATGGTGGTACCTCCTTAGAGAAGAAGTAAAAGAATATCTTAATTTTTTTTAACGTTAGACCGGCTCTTGACATGAATGATCCCTTAAAAGGAAGCGAAACCTTCCTGTTCAAGTCAGCAATCCCTTAAAAACCTGCTGTGCTCCCATCAAATTTAGGAAATTCTCACTTGATAAATTGACATGGGAAGCATTTAGATTTCTAACAGTCACATACATTTACTGCGGAGGAGTTGAGTCATCATTGATATCCGTGGAATTTAGAGATGTTAATGAAAGTGCAAAACACAAGCTTTCTATTCTTACCGGAATAATGAAAAGAACTTAGGTTTTGTTTTCCCTCCGTTTGCTGGAAGAGCTATCAAGTCTTTAGTTCTGTCAAATCAGAACTCTTGAAAACATTGTGAACACTGCATGAAATATAGTTAAGTACTCGGTAAATGTTTACCTTCTGTGCAAGTGCCTGCCATGTGCCTGAAGAAAAGCATTGAAAAAAAAAGTTATGTGCAAATAGTTCTGATTTTATATGTCTCACAACTTAGTACGAACTTAGAATGTGGAAAATTATATCCTTGACCCTTTCCTTACCAATTAATGACTAAATGACCCCTTATTAAAAACTGCTACTTAAAAAAAGAAAATCCTTGTGATGTTCGTTTTTCAGATATTTCATGGAAATGTAGTGCTTCGTTCATTGATCCATCAAATTATTTGCCTGACATTGTGCTAGCGATCCAGGAAATTTTTTTTTTTTTTTAAGATTTATTTATTTGAGAGAGAGAGCGCTCTAGCACGCGTGAACGGGGGAGGGGCAGGGAGAAGAAGACTGAGCAAACTCCCCCCGCCATGTCGGGAGCGCCACTCTGTTGGATCTCACTTCCCTGAGATCATGACCTGAGTCAAAATCTAGAGTCCGGGGCTTAACCTGCTGAGCCACGCAGGGGCCCTCCCACCTCCACCCCTGGAAAATTCTTATACTCCTTGAATTTAGTAGGTAGTGAGAAAGACACAATTATGGTTAAGTATCACAGAAGAGACACTCGGGATACCTAACTTAGCCTTGTAAAGTCAAAGAACATTTCTCAAAGGATGTAAAATTTCAGATGATACCAAAGGATGACATCGATTTAGTCCTGTATGCTACTTTACAGATTTTCTCTTATATCCAATGAGTATTTGAGAAGGCATGAAGGTTTTTAAAAGAACGGCATGATTAGATTTGCATATTAAAAAGCCCTGTCCTGCATCGGGCTCCCTGCTCTGCAGGGAGTCTGCTTCTCCCTCTGACCCTCCCCCCTCTCATGCTCTCTCTATCTCATTCTCACTCTCAAATAAATAAATAAAATCTTTAAAAAAAAAAAAAAAGCCCTTTGGCTGCCGTGTGGAGAATTATGGCGTTACTTAAAGTTTTGGTCAAGCATCAAGAGATGAATTTGATGAGAAACGAGCTTATTCCATAATATTAATTTACCTACTATTTCTTTCACAGGGAAATTCTCCTGCAGTGTCAACTGAGCTTAACAATGTACTTCATTGCTGGCACAATCAGCACTAGATTAGAAGAGGTGAGAGTTAGTAGGGAAAAAACAGAAACTTGGAGTAAAACAAGGGAGAGTCCACCAGTAACCTAGACTAAAGTGATTCTGACAGAGATGGAAAGAAGTGAACAGACTGAAGAAATGTTTGAGTAGAAACTACTGTATGGTAATTTGATGTGGAAGATGAGGGAGAGGGAGGAGTCAAAGGCACCGATAATCTTGAATGTTTAAGAGATACACAGTGATACAGTAACATGCATACTTGACCATTTGCCTCCTATCAAATTAACCTTTTCATGGAAATTTAGATCTTAACATTATAATAAATTACATTCCTATTTCATAAATACAATGTTTGACTAATTTCTTATCTAGGATGCTGATAGACTTTATCCTCGTGTACAACTTATGTTCCCTAAACTCAACTATCTCCATTTTTCTTATCTCTTAGCTGACTCCAGTCTAAATCCAATAATCTTCTGAAACTGCTCTTGCTACGCTGAGTTATCACTCTTGTATTTCTTTTTCATGGCATGTCTTCACTTCCTCCTTGAAACACTCTCTACTTTTGAATTATTTCACACTGATTTTGTGCTTTTCATCTTCTTTGACCAGTTGATCTTCAGTTTTCTCTGACAGCCTCTTCCTTTTTCTGCCCTCTGGCTTAGGTCTTCCCACTCTTACCAAAATGATTTCAGCTGTTCCTGTGGTCTCAACTTGTTGGTGTCTCAGTATTTCCTTTGTCTCTCTTTGGTTGCTCAGGTTCAACATATCAAAATTTTATATTAATCAACTTGCTCTTACCACCCCTCCCCTTTCCCTTTCTCAGTAAATAAAAACACCATCCATCCCAAAAGTGGGAGGCCATCCTCCCTTGACTTCTCCCCTATTCCCTCTTGATTGGATTATTACAACAGCCTCTTAAATGGTTCACTGCTTCCATTCATGCACTCCTAACCTCTCTTCTATAATCAGTGGTGTGTTGCTAAAGGTTTAACAACAGGATCTCCAGGGAAAGGGGAAAGCACCGATTTGTAGCATTTGCCCAATTTCCATGATATAAATACTCTACCATGGCTGGTTTCAAGTTATCGATATGACATCACTAATCATAGAGTTGGGAAGAAATGTGCAGTACCACACACAGAACAGACAAATAATTTTAAGAATATAGATAATAGTAATTAAGAAATGATGGGTTTCAGTATTACCTTTGTTCTTCATTTAAATTCAAATGTACATAATTTTTAATAATGGCTGTGTTTAACAGCTAGTTAAAACATTTTATGTTGGGCGCCTGGGTGGCTCAGTCTTTAAGCGTCTGCCTTTGGCTCAGGTCATGATCCCAAGGACAGTCTCGTAATATAAAAGGCATTCAGCTATTAATAAAGACTCAAGCAAAATAGCATTATTTAAAACACTGATTTTCCAAAACATCTAATGTTTCTGAAACCTTGGTTCTATTACTGGTAGACAAGATATATCCATCAGTTACCGCCATGTTAATTTTTTAATATTTACAGGAGGACTTATTATTACTTAAATTCAGCTTATGGGCTACATCTCCCACCCTTTGAATATGCTGAGAAAAATCCAAACTCATGAAAAACATAAGGTTAATGCTGTATAAAAGAATTGTCTAAAATCAAATATAAAATGGTTTTTATTCTATTTCAATACTGATAATTAAACAATACTGCCAAACTAATGCCATTAGTTTGTTCATTCATTGATTCACTGAGAAAGTTCATTGAGCTAATACTTCACAGGATGAAGCAGTGGAAAACATAGCTCCTAATGAGGAAAAACAAGATCTAGGGGTAGGAATAGAAAAGTAAACAATTAGAATACAATGATATTCTATATAATATACAAACATCTAGCCCAGTCCATGGAATTTCCTTAGGTATATGGGATTCCTAAATTGAATCTTAAAATAAGGAAAATTGGCTCAAGCTAAGGTTCAATTAGGCATTGGTTTCATAATTAGGGAGCTAGTTTTAAAAAGAGCTAGGACGCCTGGCTGGCTTAATTAGTAGAGCATGCGACTCTTGATCTCGGGGTCTTGAGTTCAAGCCCCACTTTGGGCGTGGAGCCTAGTTTAAAAAACATAGTTTTCCATGGACGTTGAGGACATCTCGATGTGTTGTGGTGAGCGCTGGGTGTTGTGTAAGACTGATAAATCACAGACCTGTACCCCTGAAACAAATAATATATTACATGTTAATTAAAAAAATAAAAAATAGGGGTGCCTGGGTGGCTCAGTCGTTAAGCATCTGCCTTCGGCTCAGGTCATGATCCC